GCTAACAACCAATCAACCAATCTACCAAACAACTGGCTAACAAACCGACCAACCAACCGGCCAACCAACCGACCAACAAACCGACCAACCAACCAACCGACCAACCAACTGACCAACCAACCAACCTAACAGCCGACTAAATAAAACGACACATTTATCAACCAACTAATGTAACTGACACACTTGAACCACCGACCCGATGAACCACACCCCAGTCTCCTCATACCCAGTAGTGGTGGCCTCCAACTCGTCAGGAGTGTCTCCCGGCGGCAGCTCAGGGGACGAGGCGCCTCCCCCGCCGCCGCCGCCCCCCGCCCCGCCTGCGCCCCCGCCGGTGCTGGAGGAACCCGTCATTAGGCCGAGCGAACTGAGAGGGCGGTTAGGTAAGTCCTATAACTATATAATATTTTTACTAGTATTACAAGATACGCGACGGAAATAAATGACCAATCAACCAATCGACCAACCAACCAACCAACCAACCAACCGACGAACCAACCGACCAATCAACCAACCAATCAACCGACTTACCCACCAACTGACCAACTAACCAACCAACCGACCAAACATCTGACCAACCGACGAACCAACCTACCAAACAACCGACCAACCAACCAATTGACCAACCAACCGACCAACTAACCGATTAACCAATCGACCAACCAACCGACTGATTGATCAACCGACTAACTAATAAATAGATTAATGTTACAAATCAACTGACTAAATAAAAGAACCGCCGACCCGATGAACCACCCTCCAGTCTCCTCATACCCAGTAGTCGTGGCCTCCAACTCGTCAGGAGTGTCTTCCGGTGGCAGCTCAGGGGACGAGGCGCCCCCCGCCCCGCCTGCGCCCCCGCCGGTGCTGGAGGAACCTGTCATCAGGCCGAGCGAACTGAGAGGGCGATTAGGTAAGTCTCTTTCTATTTCTAGTGTCTCTTTCTGACATTCTTAGATACAAGCAATCGATACGAAGCACCCTAGCATACCTTGCTTGGTACCTGGCATCAGGCCAAGCGAACTGAGAGGGCGGTGAGGTAAGTCTCTTTCTATTTATGGCAACTCTTTATGATAATAATGATAAATAATGATAATTTTCGAACTGAGAGTGCGTAAGTCTTATACGAGAATTACAAGCTACTAAGCGATTTAAAATAACCGACCGATCAAACAATCGACTAAATCAATTGACTAATTAATCAACCAACTAATTAATCAACCCACCAACTTATCAACCGACTATTAAATCAACCGACTATTGAAACAACCGACTATTGTATCAACCGACTATTAAGTATCTACCGTTTAATCAACCTGATGTAAATAACACACTTGAACCACCGACCCGATGAACCGCACTCCAGTCCCCTCGGAGCCAGTAGTGGTGGCCTCCAACTCGTCAGGAGTGTCTTCCGGCGGCAGCTCAGGGGACGAGCAAACTGCCACTCAGTGGTTAGGTAAGTCTTATATGAATATGAAGTATCTAAGTAACTAAACGAACCGAGAATTACAAGGTAAGCGACTCAACTACCAACCAACCAACCAATCAACTAACCAAATAACTGACCAACCAACCGACCAATCAACCGACCAAACGACCAACTAACCTACCCACCGACCTACCAACCAACCGACCGACCAACCGACCAACTCTTCTCCCCGACCAACTATCTGACCAACCAACCAACCGACCAACTAACCGACCAAACAACCGACCAACCAACCAACCTACCAAACAACTGACCAGCCAACCGACCAACCAACCAACCTGACAACCGACCAACCAATCATCTAAATCAACTGACTAATAAATCAACCGACTAACTAATCAATCGACTAATAAGTCAACCTACTAACTAATCAACCTAGTAATTTAACTGACTTACGTAAACAACTAACACACTCGAACCACCGACCCGATGAACCGCACTCCAGTCCCGTCGGAGCCAGTAGTGGGGGCCTCCAACTCGTCAGGAGTGTCTTCCGGCGGCAGCTCAGGGGACGAGGCGTAAAAAAAAAAACGGCTAAATACAAGATACTAAGCGACTCCACTTACCAACCAAATACCCAACCGACTGACCGATCAACCAACTGATACATTGAACGCCCTACGAAATAACCGAAAAGGTAAATTCAACCCAACTAGAAACTATGTTGTTTGTTGTAATATTTAGGTACAGCAGGAGCAGAACTTTTTCTTTTTTAAGGTTTGTAAGTCTTATTTTACCAAGCAATTTCGTTTTCCTCCAAGGATTACATTTCACGAATCTATTTAAGTGTAAGTATATTAAAAATATACCAATCGAGATATTATGTGGTTATTCCACATTATGTTAATATTATGTATTAATAATGTCATATTTTCTTTTAATTACCACTTAGTTATCTATCATCAATAGACAAGCATACTGTAGAACAAAAACGCCGCTTGCATCCTCGATCTGTAGATAATGTTGTCAAATAAGTAGGACATAATTATTTCTTACTAAATTGTGTTACATATCCAGCACATCAACCAACTAGTTAGAGGATCCAGTTATACTGGTTTTTCATATAAATACCAAGAAAAACTAGTATAAGTTGATCTCTTGAATGGGTAGGTTGTTGTACTGGCGTTTACCTGACCTAAGTGAAAGTAAGATAAAATACGTATTAAATTGTTGTTTATTACTTATAGCAACTTACTTGAAGTTTATAACTTTTTAAGCAGTAAAACAGAATGGTTTTTTCCTAACAGTGGCTTAAGTTGTCTCTTTTATTCCTGTATTTTTTTCTGTTTCCGGAACATTATAACTTTAAATATCAAAGCAAGAGTGAATAGGCACTACCTATGCATGCTCTAACATCGTCTGCATCACTATTACCAACAGGTGAGATAGCAGACAAATGCGGGCAAATCTTATTAAAAAAAGTTTTAATTTACTTTAATGGTTGGCTTGGCAAGCGTAGCGTTGGGTATCATCCAGCCAGATGGTCCGATGTCTGAGGCACATTGTCTCCGCATATGAGACGTAAGACGTGCGTGAGACAGAGCGACGTTTCAAAGCGTTTTCTAAAATCATATGGAACAGAAAAGGCGCCGTCTACACCCTTTCAACGCCCTTCTCATTGCCGATTACTTGTCTCACTTGTGTAGATAGCGACTTAAATGGGGTGGCTGGTAGTGAGTGACTCGTGTCTTATGAGTAGGAAAGTATGTTTTGCATAACGTACCCTGAGGCCATGGTCTGAGGGTGGCTGGCAGGAGGGTGGGACGCAGTGTAGTGCTAAAAGCTAATGTGATGTCATGGAGGAAATATATTAGAAGAGAGTCAATCTACTTAGAACAAAAAAACATGGTGATGAGCTGATCTATGGGAACGTTGAAAATAGTTGGAGATTTTTGTGTGAGAACGAGAACAAAGGACACACATCTTTTCTGTCACGAATAGGTGTACCTAATTGATAAAGATGGATACGAAAATAGGATTAATTAGCCTGGGTATTTTTGTGTCTAATTTTACAAGAATGTTACCATTTCCCTCCTAGAAGAAAACAACTAATTATTTGGCTAATTCAAAAACAATTCGACACGTTTATACATATTAATGTAGAGAGCAGTAATTAAATCTCGGTGAGTTCACTTTCTACCGAGCAAGTGCTGTTAGTTTTGGTCTGATTCGTCGATGGCCAAAACAATAAAATGTATGTAAAAAAACTTTTGCTTAAGCCTTAAATTCGGCGTGAAAATACTTTCCATTTCGTCTCGTCTGATAGTGCGTCTAGTGTGATGCTTTTATTTTGCACACACGTTGTAGGAAATTTAGTTATAGCGGCTCAGGACTCAAGTAAATTGAATAGATTGACTGTCTAAAATGGTATAAGGTAAGTCAATCTAAAAAGTTTAGTTTCTTAAGGTTCGAGCATGATAAATCTGTGATTTAGATACTTCTTAAATAATTCTGAATAGCACTAAGGTCAGCGTTTAGGTACCGAAAAGACGAAAGTTGAAAATCAAGCCGCTGAAACTCTTACAAGTTCTTCCTCGTCTTCTTTCGTGTAGGACACTGTGTCACCGAACTACCCGATGAGCCTTGGTGTAGAGTTTTTCAACTGCCTACTAATAATAATAGGGCTATGACATGGTTGTATAAGACCGCCGTTTAGGTAATCTTACGAGTTTTTGTTTAGACACTCAAGAGATGACTCGCAGATTTAACATCAATAGTTTATTTAGAGTCAATTCAAACATTTCTCCCAGTGAACAAAAATTTATCCCCTTAAAATCAGATCTTCTGACCAATTAACTAAGGATAATTAAAACGATATAAAAAAACAAGTTCCTATACAATTATTGTTTACCAAAGTGAGAGTTGCCAATATTGCACATACAGTCTTACATAACATGTCGTCAAAATAACATGCACTTACAAGCTTGAATAACCTTAAGTGCAACTTCAATAAGCATTGAAATGACAACGTAAAATAACAAGTAGGTAATAGGGAAAAGTATTACGAGCGATAGAAAATATATGTCTATTCATTGTGCAAATAAAGGCGAGGAAATGGCAGATTTACTATGTAAGCACAATTGAACGCTCATAACAAGATTTTCAATAATCTTAGAAGTTTTCAAATCCATTTTACCTCTTTATTTAAGGGTTGTGCTCTCATATTTCTGTAGTTACATAAAAATATTGTCATAGCTTTTCGTTCGAGACGTAATTTCATCACAATCTTTTTTCAAGGTGCGATTCCATGATTGACACTTTCTATTGGTCAACACGGTTAATAAATAACTTTTCTCAAATTTTTCGTAACGGAAACCAAAAACACAATAATAAATAGAGAATAAACAGTTATTTTGTGTGGTGAATTTCTTCAAATAAATAAAGATAAAAAAAATATTTGGGACATTTGAGAATGAAGAATTGTTAAAGTATATAACTAAATTAAATACCAAATTTTAAAACACTTCTCGTGTTAGGTAAACAATTTTTGGAAAACTTCCAAAATTTTCACCGCAGGCAGGATTTGAACCTGCGACCTTCGCGGCATCAGTACTGCCGACGCCCTAACCAACTGGGCTACCGCGGTTCTAATCGAGCCCGCGAAATTATGGAAGTATATCTTGTCCACTATCGCGTGGATGGGCTCCATCTACCGGGATAGTTTTGCAACTAATTCCCAGCGACTAATTCATTCTTTACAGATTGAATGTAGTCAAAGCGATGAAAACCCGCGATAAATTGAATACCAAATTTTAAAACACTTCTCGTGTTAGGTAAACAATTTTTGGAAAACTTCCAAAATTTTATAACTAAATATTTCACTTTGAAATGATGTAAGCTTAATTAATTATCAAAAAGTATTGGAGTAGAGAGGTAAATGTGTTATAAAACCATGCACTGTAACTAGTGCACTGTATATTTGCTTTAATACGCTCTCACTGTTCGAAATGATTTATGAGATCAATAATCACACAGGCTATTAATTTTCGAAGATATATTTTTGAGATTAATGTTTTATTTTGTTATTACCAAATTATTTCCTGGTCACGGCACCAAATAGTTTATGCAGGTGTATGATAATATGAGTTACTTATATAAGGTTACATTTAATTAGATACAAATCTCTAGAGGGTGTGTTCTACTCACAAAACTGAACAATTTTTGTTATTTTTTAGTATTTCATATTTCGTGGAAAAGTTTCTAACAAAAAAAGTTGTTCAGTTTTGTGAGCAGACAACGTCCTTAAGAGATTTATAGTTCATTAAATGTAACCCTATATATACCTATGAGTTAGAAATATTCTAATAAAATTTTTGCTCTCCATCTGAAACGTTTAGTCGGAAATGCTAATACCAGCTTTGTACAATACAAACTACAGGTCAACATAATGAAAAATACGAATCTACATTCTTAATACGAATCTAACGACACCTCATATACCAACGCCCAACATCCATCAAATCGTTTAGGCTCTAGCCAAACCAGAGGTACAAATAGCTACATACATACATACTCTTGAAAAACATAATCTTACAGAGGCAGTCGGGTAAAAGCAACCTAAGCAACACATCGAATTACCTACCTACCTATTTAAAGGACCAATCTAATTTGGTTCCCCATACAGTTATCACGAACAACCAATAAATACTGATCTCTTAAATGGATATACGCACATGTTTAAATTATTAGCTGCGTGAAGAGAAAGATAAACATACCAGTAAGAATAATATGAAACAAACATGAGGTGTCAACAGCCAAAGCGTGAAAAAACTGTGACGATGACCGACTGCGTTTTTTTGCATCAGAATTGCACACGCGTCGGTATATATTGCGGTTTTTGACAGCCACCAATATTGATACTAAACGGGCGGCGCAGATTTAGAATATGCCGCGATAAACAACTTTCTATCTTTTTTCAACTTTTAGCGGCATTTGTTTATTTAACTTTAAATGTTTTGTAATTTTGATTGTTGATAAAAAAATAGCATCACATCAATTCTATTTTGGGTGTCGTAAAAAGCGACTATTGGGCAGGTAATTATTCAGAATTGGGCAGCCGATATAGGATGACGTAAACTTATTTCGCGAAAAAACAGGACGCGGCAAAACACCGCAAAATCGTGCTGTAGGTATCTAAATGTGAAAACCGTGTTAATTGTAAATAACGCCGGCTGAGAGTAAAAATGTAAGTGAGTAGGTATGTAAGTAATGACTTGTTTTCTTTCGCTGATATCCTATTTGGACATACCTCTCGTTTCTTGTTGATTTCTATACGGCTTTATTCAATAAACAAACATTTTGGTAAACGTGTAAGAAAAAAGACTTGTAAACTTGTGGCTTGTGACAATTTCAGGGGAAACTAAAATTGAAAACGGGAAATCTACGAAAAATGTTTTGTCTTTTAACAGTTTGCTACGACCCTTCTACGGCGTAGCGATCGTAGCAAGGAATGGAGTTTTAAATGAATGAAAACCTGCTGCCTTTTTAAAACCTATTTTGAGTAGTCAAAAACTCTTGATTAAGATGAATACATACATGCATATAATTATCACGCCTATATCCCTCGCGGGGTAGGCACTGCGTAAACGGTTGAAAGAAACTGCCATTTACACCACATTTGACAAATGAGAGTCATTCAGAAGACAGTGTATATCGCCCACCAAAGTGACAAGCAGTCGCCTAAAATTACAATACACATCAACTTTCAAATTCCTTAGTCGCTTCCTACGATACCCACGGGAAAGATATGGGGTGATGCTATTCTAAGCCGGTACCACACGTACAGAATGAGTATGACTATCATTTGTTAGATATGCACCAATTTAAAATTCATCATAGGCAATAACTACTGTCTTGACAGATGCTTGACGTGCAAATTAGAGAGGCGTAAATAAATATTCGCACCGTAGTAATTTCTTATGAGATCTTGTTATGAAGCTATGATTATATGGCATGTGATTATGATTATTGGAATGATTAGTTATGATTATACCTACAGGTAGGTAATGATGGCCCTGAAAATTATGTCAAATCAGTTGTCTATTTGTTTAAATGTAAAGCTTGAATATGAAAAAAGCACTTCCCGTGCTCGCAGGCTGGATTGAGCCACGGTAGCCGAGTTGGTAGAGGCAATGGCAGTACAGATGCCCAAAGTTGCTGGTTCCTTCCTATACAAAAAGATGTAAAAATTTAAGGTCGAGCAGGACTAATTATTATTATTATTAATTATTATTAAAGTAATAAAACTCATACAAATTAGCATTACAATTCATTCTAATGTAAAAAAAAGTTTAGACTAAAATATATTGTTTGGTGAATGTTTTACTATTTTGAAGAAATTTTTCCACAAGATAGTATTTTTTGGAACACTTGGTGTTTTAATCAAACACTAGATATTGATATTAACTTTTTGGTTACAAAGTTAATACAAATGAAGCAAGCGGAAAAAATTCACACCGCCGGCGGGATTCGAACCCACGTCTTCTGACAAGCCGGGTCAGACGTGTTAAGCCGCTACACCACGGCGGGTTCTGCCCGAGGCGGCGAAATTGTGATCCACTTGCTTCGTTCATATTGCTTTGCCACTTGACTACTCACGGGTAGCTTGAGCGCCATCTATGACTTTGTAGTAGAACTATACAGTCACTCAACTGACAACATTACGTATGTACAAGTTGACGAGAGATGGAGCTTTTTCCGATTTGTGAATGTTTTACTATTTTGAAGAAATTTTTCCACAAGATAGTATTTTTTGGAACACTTGGTGTTTTAATCAAACACTAGATATTGATATTAACTTTTTGGTTACAAAGTTAATACAAATGAAGCAAGCGGAAAAAATTCACACCGCCGGCGGGATTCGAACCCGCGTCTTCTGACAAGCCGGGTCAGACGTGTTAAGCCGCTACACCACGGCGGGTTCTGCCCGAGGCGGCGAAATTGTGATCCACTTGCTTCGTTCATATTGCTTTGCCACTTGACTACTCACGGGTAGCTTGAGCGCCATCTATGACTTTGTAGTAGAACTATACAGTCACTCAACTGACAACATTACGTATGTACAAGTTGACGAGAGATGGAGCTTTTTCCGATTTGTGAATGTTTTACTATTTTGAAGAAATTTTTCCACAAGATTGTATTTTTTGGAACACTTGGTGTTTTAATCAAACACTAGATATTGATATTAACTTTTTGGTTACAAAGTTAATACAAATGAAGCAAGCGGAAAAAATTCACACCGCCGGCAAAGCAATATGAACGAAGCAAGTGGATCACAATTTCGCCGCCTCGGGCAGAACCCGCCGTGGTGTAGCGGCTTAACACGTCTGACCCGGCTTGTCAGAAGACGTGGGTTCGAATCCCGCCGGCGGTGTGAATTTTTTCCGCTTGCTTCATTTGTATTAACTTTGTAACCAAAAAGTTAATATCAATATCTAGTGTTTGATTAAAACACCAAGTGTTCCAAAAATACTATCTTGTGGAAAAATTTCTTCAAAACATTCACAAATCAAAGCTCCATCTCTCGTCAACTTGTACATACGTAATGTTGTCAGTTGAGTGACTGTATAGTTCTACTACAAAGTCATAGATGGCGCTCAAGCTACCCGTGAGTAGTCAAAAGCAATATGAACGAAGCAAGTGGATCACATTCGCCGCCTCGGCAGAACCCGCCGTGGTGTAGCGGCACACGTCTGATTGTCGGCGGTGAATTTTTCCGCTTGCTTCATTTGTATTAACTTTGTAACCAAAAAGTTAATATTGTTTGGTGTGTGATGATACAGAATAAATAGTTAGGATTTCTATGTAGCCAAAAGGTAACTAAAAAATTAGAAAATATGCAAAATAGTAAAGAAACATCTTGGATTAGATTTAATCCGTGACTGTATTTCGTCAGTTACATGCTTGCTTTCCAGATAAGTTCTAAAAAGACTCTTAAATGCAGGCTAGGTATAAAGTTGTAATTTTCAGTCTAATTATTTGAGAATTTATTACCTACTAAAATAACAAGATTAAAATTTCTTGCAAAAAGACAGGCGAGTGCAGTATAAAGCTAATTGGATTGAGTTTGTGCCCAACATCTACATTTAGTTTCCGTGTTGATTCACGCATCGATGACCGTCATTATTCGAGATAATCATGGATAAGAAATAGCTGCATAACTCGTCAAATCTAACACTTTTTTGCGTGTAACGTGGCTTAGCGATCCAATTTAGTCTTAATTTTTTTTAACTGGAAATAAGTCACGGTAACAGAAAGTTACCTTTACTTAAAACCTAGCTATATTACACACCTACATCCCTTGCGGGGTAGTTAGAGTCGGATATAGGTACAGCAAGTTTGACAAAAGTTAAAAAAGGCATTTAGAAGATTGTGTTGATACAAAATCTTCTAAATAATTGTGTATTGTGTTGATTTTGTGATACCTTTGTAACGGTGTGTTAGCCTGTTGTCTAAAATTGCAATACACTTCAATTCTTAATTAACCCACCCTTAAGAAAAAACATGGGGTAGAGATGTTAGATGATCTGACTATAAAATATTCATTTATTGGATCTTGTAAAATATTCCACTGCAGCAGGCAAGATT